CCATTGTCTAATAACATATTATCAACTTCATCTACTACAACTGCATCACGTGTTCGATCACCAAGTACATTCTTTTTATAAAATGTATGTAGTAAATAATCACGTTGAAAACGAGCAATATCACCATAGACAATATGTGATTCATAAGCTTTCTTTCTCTTTTCAACATCTTCGTCACAATTGTGTCCAACAGTTAAATTAAATTTAGCATATAGACTTCGCATAACATCAGCATCACGTTGTGCAAGCACAGGAGAACTTGTTATAATGTCAACGTATTTATATCGAATCTTACAACGAATAATTGCAATAGCAGCAATAATATAGGATTTTCCTTCTCCTGTATTGACTTGTTCCAAAACATTCTTTTCATTTTCAACGGCGTAGAGAATAGCCATTTTTTGGGTTGGACGCAAACGTATGTGATGTAACTCTTCCAGATAATCATCATATTCTAATAGTAGACGCATGCTTTCAGAAAGTGTCTTGTCGTTTTTGTTATTCTTTTGTAATGTCTAGAAAGAAAAAAGGGTTTAAAGAATAAATTAAAGAGATTATAGTGCTACCTTAGCCATATTTCCGATTCGTTTGACTTCATATTGACGTGTTTGTTTAGATTCTTCTGTAATATCATGTAAACCGGTAACAAGATTGATCATCTCATCAACTGTTCGTTCGCTATTTGGTAATAGTGCTTGATACACTCTTGGATTTCGTTGTTCAATAAATTTTATAAACTTTTGTTGTTCACATTCACATGTTATCAAATATGGACGTTTTTCCGAATTTACCTACAAAAAAAATCTCAATAGAAATTATAGTTATAAATTTCAATTATTCACCTCTAAATCAGAAAAATCATTGCCTAATTCCAAAAGTAATTGAAGTGTGTTAAAATAATGTTCGTCCGCATTAACTTCTGCATTAACTATAAACTGAGAAATTTTAGCAATTAGAATTTCAGGAATATATTGTACACGATCAAAAACTTGACGCATTCTTCGTTCTTCATCCTTTCGCCCATGATCGTCCAAGTAACCAAGATAATATCCAACATCACCATATTTTTTTATCAGAGCTCCAATTTCACTCCATTTCTGCTTATTCGCAATATCGATCCATTCATACAAAGTCATATTTTCTAACTGTTCAGAACCATCAGAAGAATGTTGAAGCATTAAAATGAGTTTATAAATCTGATCAATATCGATAGATTCTTCATGTTCATTTAATTTTATAGCAAAGAGTGCTTTATGTCTGGCGCTTTCAATAAGTTGAATTCCATGATAGATTTTTGTATCATGAAAACGATAACCTTGATAAAAGATTATTGACATGTATAAGAAAACATTGATAAGTTCACCTTGAGACACTGAACTGGAGAGAAGAAGAAGAAATTCAATAGTACATCGATAAGTTGTTTGTAATTTAGCAGATGATAAAAGAATAAATTGCAATTCAAAAGGTGTTAAATGACAACCATCAATGTAAAATCGATTATTGAGATGTTGTAAAAATGTTTGATCATTTGTCAACACAAGATAACCTTCAATCCATTGAATTATCGCACTTTGAAATGGTATTGCATAGAATGAAGCAAATGTTTGTCGAACATTGGATTGTCGATAATCATGCTTAGATTCAGCTTTAAGTTCGGTATTTAACGTGTGCAAATACTTTTTAGTCATTTTTACTTGTGCTTGAATCAAATCACGATAGTCTTCATTGACGACAATTCCACATACTTTCTGTTTGTGAATCCATAACAGATGAATTTTTTCTGCACTTGAATTGAAATTTTCTTTCTTACTAAGTTCATGATAACCAGATTCTATATAACTTTGATAATTAATATCATATTTGTACGCCATCAAATAACGAACAGATGCACAA